GATTCATCACAGGGAAATTCTATATATCAAGTTGAAATGATTAAACATATTAAAACTATTTATCCAAATATACAAATTATTGCTGGAAATGTTGTTACACAAGCACAAGCAAAAAATTTAATTGATGCTGGTGCTGATGCATTACGTGTTGGTATGGGTAGTGGATCAATTTGTATTACACAAGAAGTTATGGCTGTTGGACGAGCACAAGCAACCGCTGTTTATAAAGTAAGTGAATATGCACGTCGATATGATGTACCTGTTATTGCCGATGGAGGTATATCATGTGTTGGACATATTGTTAAAGCCTTAACATTAGGTGCTAATTGTGTTATGATGGGATCATTATTAGCTGGTACACATGAAGCACCAGGAGAATATTATTATCAAGATGGTGTTAGACTTAAAAAATGTAAGTAGAAAACAAAAAAACAAAATATTATATTAATACGGAAAAAAATCTCTATGAAATTTTTAGTTAATTATACGGTAAGATAATTTGAAATATTTCATAATATCACTGATGTTTTCATTACTTTTTTTTTCAATACAAAGATATAATATATTTTTACATAAATACTAATTATTCTCATAAATTAACGATTATAAACATGAAATCATCGTCGTTCTTTCTATTTTTATCGACATGAAAAAATAATATTTTATTACAGTATAACCTCTCTATAGTGGACACTCTACGGACTTTTCAAAAATGTCCACTATGAAGAGGCCAGGTCTTTTCTAAAAGCAGTTTTTCACCAGGAACAGACATGTTTTCTACGTATATGAAAGATGTTAGCCATTAAAAAAAGTAACCACTGCTAAAATATAGTAAAATTTCTCTGTCGTGGACACTATTACAACTTTTCAAAAGCATTCACCATAGAACTATATGACAATGTCTACCATAGTGAGATTAGTTTTCAGTAAAAATCATTTCGTCGGACCGCCAAATGTTCATCATACGGAGATGTCCACTACGGGAGGTTTTACTGTATTTCTAATTGATATCATAAATATGTAGCTTTTCATTTCTATGTACCTTCGATTAAATAAATTGTAATATACACAGTTTTTTATTTGCATAGATCGTGGTATGGGTAGTCTTGATGCAATGACTGCATGTCAAGAATTATCTGCTGCTAGTCGATATTATTCTGAAGCAGATCATATTAAAGTTGCTCAAGGTGTCTCAGGTAGTGTTGTTGACAAGGGTAGTGTTCATCGATTTATTGGTGGTTATCTTTATACCGGTATACAAAAATCTCTTCAAGATATAGGTTGTCAATCACTTGAACAATTACACCAAGAATCAAATCAAGGAATAATTAAAGTTGAAAAACGTACAACTGCAGCACAAATTGAAGGTGGTGTACATAATTTACATTCATTTGAAAAACGACTTTTTTAAAAAACAAAGCAAAATATCATGATTAATCATTATATTTGATGATTTATTTATTTTTAATTTCAATCTCAAAAGTGAAAAAAGACACTAAGAAATTGTTTATTTTCATTTCTTGTTGTTGTATATTTATATATTTGTATTGTCATTGTAAAAATCCGTTGTATTGTATTTAATCATTCCGATGTTTTGTCTTTGCAATCAATCCAGAATTTTTTTCAGTTAATTATGCCTTTTATTAATTTCTATATTTAAGTATACATCTGTATATAAGCTCAAAACTATAGTGAAGAAATGATCTTTTTTACGTTGCATCAATTTATGTGAATCTCACAAGTACAAATATAATACTAATTTAAATAAATTGGTTCATTATTCATATATTCATATTGTGTTGATCTGTTTGTTCAAGATATTACTGTAGTACGAGTAAAGTGTTCATGTTATTCAAAATATAAGAATCGGATGTAATATTAGAAAGTTAATAAGATAAAGTATTGAACACAAATGGATGTATAATATTTGATGAGAAAATTCGAATCAGAGACCGAAACTGTACGAGAAAGTGGGGCGAGATTCCGGCTCAAAAACTATTTTTGTCAGGGGAGACGAGGCGTGGAAGTGAAATAAAAACTTAAGGTCAGGCAAGGCGAGACAGAAACAGTTTTTGTCGGAATCGGGTATAGCGAGGAACAAAATATTCTCCTCCCTTCAACATCGGACACATAATCAACACTTGAGGGTGTGGGCGCCCAAAGTTCAGGCATTGATCGATGACAACGGTTGAAAACATTTAAAACTCTAGCAGGAGCGGTTGAAACTTTTCAACGAAATTCTTTTAATTTCTTAATTTCGAGAAATTTTGAAATAGAAAAGACAGAAAACGATGATGGAAAGCTTATTGACCAGAAACTAGACTGTTACATATCCAAAAACTGATTTCGAACATCGAAAATTTTAAAAAATCAAATATCTATTTTTGTGTTCTGGTGACTATGGCTGAAATCTCCAGTAACTAGGCTGGACAGCGGTAACGGCGGTGTCTTAGCAGCTGATCAGCTTGCATATGTAATTGCAACTATGATTGATAACATCTTTCAAGGTTTAATTGATTTTTTTCGTATTTGTTTGTATCCCGATGTGGAAAATTTGAAAAAAAAAAAGTTATTGCCCATTTTGTAAACCTCGAAAAGCTGTATTTCATACTTCTACTTAATAATTTTCTCAACAAACATCTTGCGTACGTCGACTTAATCGAGGCAAAATTTACTCGTTTGGTACCCCCTTTTTAGTATATACGGTGGTATTTCCGTGTAGAACACTAGTGAAATTACGCTTACATACTTTTCTACTCTTGGTCAGGTTAAAACCACAAAAGAGAAACTAGTGAGCTTAAGTCTCAGTACTCAAAGAATAGATATTTTTTCCATAAATATTAAAGTGACCTTATACTTAGTATCTGACACTAGTTTGAGTACATTTCATTGAGTCTGAGCACTTTGAAACATTTTAGCAATTGTTCATCAGCTAAAAGAAACAGACAATAATGTTGAGAAGCAGTGATTAAAAGTTGTTAACAATACATTAACACATTAATTGTCGAATATATCTTTTTTTTGCTTCTATCTTTTTAGCATATGATTTCTTATGGTTTTGTAGACAATTTCAGTCCAAAACAATAATATATAGTCGACATATAGAAAAAAAAATACTGAGAAACTCATTTATTCTATCACACCCGTTATACAGGTAATATATCATTGAAGTCAAGTCATTTCGAGACCAGGAAAAAATGACATATTCATCGTACTCTAATCAACTGTATTCAAATCAAATGAATCTGAACATAAACAATTTTCTAACACACTGCTGCTCTATAACATGCAACAAACCTATCTAGTAATATTTTACGATATGAGAAATTTCATTGTATGAAATCAAATGATACTCTTTTTGTCCAGCAATATTACATATTATTAAACATTTGTTGAAGTATTATCAAATAATGTTTGTTTTCAATCAATAATACTTTTATAACCAGACTATTCATTGTTTATATCATGTAAAAAAAACTGACTTCCTATTTGTCCGCTTTTCAAGACAATCTTCTTTATCTTAAAATGGATCAAACAAAACTTTGTTTATTTTCTTTGTATTTAACATATTTCTTTTTTTGTTTATCACATCGATATTTAATTAATTCTTCTGTCCATTTATTCAAACCATTTGAACAAAAAAGACTTTCAATGTTGATCTCCGCTTTATAATGAGAAACAGAGTACACATGGTATCGTCTATCATCTTTCTTTCACGTCATCTCTACGTTCAAGATGCTCTTCTCATATTCTTTTTTTTCTTCTCATCGCATATCATATGAACTATCAAATAAATGTCGATTCCCACGATCGATCGAACACATTCTATTCTTCTTATTCGACTACAAGGAAATGAACATACGAGAAGATGTTTGTGTATTGTTCACGCCAATATTTTAATTGCTTTCCTTTGCCGACACATGAAAAAAAAAGAGATATACAAATATATTGAACATCTATAGTTTTTCTAAGGTGTCTCAGAAAATGTGTTATATTGAATATTTAAAACAATGATCAGACTATGTCATCTAAATGAAAGATTATTCATTGATAGACAAGAAAGAATGTTAGAATCGAAACAGCTGAAAAATTCTTTCTATTTTTTTCAATATTTGTTTAAATATGTAAAAAATTTCATAATGAAATTTTCATCGAAATTGAAATTTTCTATTTTAATGTTATACGATTATTTCAAATTAATAATCATTAGATGTTTTAGAGATTAGGTCTTTCAATTCATTTAACAAAAGTTAAATTGTGATAATCTTTAGAGATTTATTTATCGATTTTCTTTGACAAACATGCACACGACCGCCAATACATTTCTAATATAGATAATTGGAATGAATGCATTCTATTCATCATCAAAAATGTCCGCCATCGCATGATATTGTCTGTCTACTTCATTATCACGGATATCCGATAGCGGCATTGTGTCGTTTTTTGTTTACTTCTTTGTATTCATCCTCACGAATCATCTTTCACTTCAGATATTCTAATTATTTCAGTTGTACTATTAGAAATCGTTTTATTTTTGTTTCGTATTTTGGCAAAAATTTTTATTTGTTTATTTGTCAGTATCAACACTTGTCTGGTTGCTAAGCAAGCAGCTGAACACATATATTTTTTCGACGGTTCAACGTCCGTGCGCACTCACACTCGCACATATGCTCATGAACATTGTCGTCTTAAGATTATGCATACAATGCGGACGACCAGACAGTGAGAGAGGAAGAAGAGAAGAGAAATATAAAGGAAAACATAGCGATCGAGCACGAAAGAGAGAGAATGATTGTCCAATTTTTTTGTCTGTTCTCTCTTTTTTTTGTTTCATAGACATGCGCTCGCGTTTTCTCATTCATTTCTACCATTGACCGCCACCCGTCATCATCACCACAACACAAATGAAACAACAGTTTTTATAAAAAAAAAAAGAAAACTTCATTAATCGTTGATCAATTGATTCTTCTTCTTACTATTACATCAATATATTTAACATTATGGGAGCTAATGATAGTCCAACAACAACTCGTTCAATTGTAACGGATTATTTCGATTGGCGTTTAAATAATAAAATAACAAATAATCGTTTATTTTTAATTGTACGTAAAATAGCTAGTGATTGTGAAACAGCTTATCATTCTCAACAACCAACATTTAATATTCGTTTTTCATTATCCTCGGTTGATTTACAAACATTAAATAATATAAGAAATATTCATAATGAAATAGCAAACGAATTATTTAGTGCTGGTGGTATAACATGGGGACGTATTATAACATTTATATCATTTTCAGCATTGTTAGCTGAACATATTATACGACAACAACAACTACAGCAACAACAAGAACAAGAACAACAACAACAGCAACAACAAGAACAACAACCATCAAATAATAGTTTATTATCGAATTTAATCATATCATCTATTATTGATTGGACAACTGATTTTATTGATACAGATCTTCAAACCTGGCTTCAAAATCAAAACTATTGGGTAAAAGAATTTTCTTTGTGTCAGAAGAAAACGTAACCTTTTTTGCTTTTCTTTTTTTGAAAAGACCGGTTTTTTTAAACTTTATGATAAAGCATCACAACGACGAAATTCAATTGGTCGTTATGCTGGTATACTTGGAACTATCGGTTAGTATTTGACCTTTTATAACAAAAAAAAAAGACTTCCTTTTGTTCTATATACATTAATCGAATAGAATCCTTAGAAAAGGCGTGTCACATACGACAGGTGATTAGATATGTGTTAGAACAACAGATTAGTAGCAAAAGGCACGTATGCGTGACAACATTATGCCTTTGGGAGGAGAAGAAGTGAGTCCAATAGACAGATGTGATATACATTGAGAGGATAATAGCTTTTGCCCAAACATACAAGTAGTAGTGACAATCCATTAAACAATCAAGATGCATGAATCTTCATTCTTCCCACCTACTAGGCTAATGTGATAACAAGCAAAACGTGTATATGTGCTTTATCCGGTTCGAAAGAATAAAACTAATTATATATACACAGCATGATATATTCATCTTTTGTTTTCTTATAGGTGTGCTCACACTTGGCGCTTTGTATATGAGACGAACTTGAAATATTTTTTTTTCTTTAACTGTTTTGTTCTTTTGTAACAGTGATTCTTTGTTTTTTTTTTTTTTTTTTTATTACCATTGTTGTTCTTGTTTTGTCAAATATATATCTGAATCATTATGTATGTATAAATACATGAGATATAAACAATTAGTTAAAAGATAATTTCATTATTTGAATTTTGATATTTATATGAAAATTTTTCTGATAGATACTCAAGATATTTGTTTATCAGAATATTCATTAAATGTATATATATATATATATCTAATTTCGATGAATCTATCCATCTATCATGCGGTGTTTCTATGTAGTCGATCTAAATCTTGGACGTATAAATATACATGTGAAGAAAGAGAAGATGACAATTAGAGTGTATGGGCTGAAATGGATGAATTCATTTCATAAATTAAAAATTATCTGTGAGAATAAATGACAGTTGTTTGCGATTTTTGCTTTATTTTAACAAGAATAATTTTATCTTCAATGATTATTAGAGAAATTTTCATTCAAGTGTATAGAAGAAAAACGACCGATTCAGAATTGCATATTGATTCAAGATGATGATCCGATAATGAGATTCGATGATCGTAAACTTATTTGAAATAAATTATTATAACGTCTCTGTTGTATATACAAAGTGAAGTCTGGCAAGATGATTTTTTTTTAGGCAAACAAACGGATAATGATCAATTGAATGAAATAAATGTTTTAGTATTAAGATTTCGAAATGTTCAATTGAGATTTTTGTTTTCGAACTATACGTAAATGTTCATGACATTGAATAAATAACATTTGAATGTCTCGAAATTTCATATTCTGATTCGACACTTCTATTAGAAATGTTTTATAGAACTCACGTATATTTTCGAAAAAAAATAATACTGAATGGAAGTTTAGATCGAGGTTTTTGCGGTTTCCTCTGCTAGGAGTCGTTAGGTTGGTCTGGAATTTGATCGGGTTTGGCTCTGAAAACTTTGAACACGATAAGCTGTACTCGACACATGTTGCAACCACTCGTGTGAGAAATGTGTAAGGTGCACTAGTCACCGAATAGAAAAAAATCGGAAAAAAGTATCTTGAATGTTCAGGATAGTTATCTTATTTCAAGTAGAAAATTTCATTGAAAATATCAAAATACGATTCGACCAAGTTCAATAATTTTTGATCCGACCAGCTCTATCTTCGTTTTTCCTAGACCCTAGCAAAGAAGTTTAAAAACCATTACTCCTCTCCATTACAGAGCTTAGTAATCGGAATGAACAGCTTGAACAACATTAATAATAAGGCTTAGAAGGTTCTAGAACATACCAGAATCTTACTTGAAATTTAAATGACTGGAATACGTTTTTCAATATTTTAAATAATGCAGTTTTTGATTATTTGCTTAGATAAACGATTATATTTAAGATATCATGGATGATGTTTTGATTGTCAACAATTGGCATATGACTAACACAAAAGCATGAACTGATTAAGTCTTAGCTTTTGAGAATAATTAATGTCAATCTTTCTGAGTTTATCGAGATACATAATAGATTGTTAAGACCTGGTGTAGATATAACGAATATGTAGAGCAGGCTTATTTGCCCATTAAATCAATAGTTAGACTAATAATAATAAATTATAAAACTAACATAAAAAAAAAAGAAAATAAATGCCATACGAATAGCAACAAGGCAAATAAAAACGAGCAGAAATCGAAAAAGAATTTCTGTTCACATGTAGAAATAAAAAAGATAATATTTGCTGACAATCGATTGTCGTTGAAAAAGAACTATGACCTTTTAGGGATTTTATACTTTATGTGCTTTGTAAAAGTATAATGAAGCTAAAAAAGACATGAGAGTTCTACATTTCAACCCTAAAGGAGAAGTACTAAAAAACTTTTTTTTCATTGAATTTAATCCCTAAATTGTTACCTACTATCTAATAAAATGTAACTAAGTAGATTAAAATTTTATCGATTATACTTATTATATACAATCGACGTAAATTTGAAATGATTAATATTTCTTCTACAAGCAATGCACAAAGTTGATATGTTATTGGAGTCAACATCATAAATTCTAGACGATCAAATGTATTACAAGAACTAGAAACTATCGAACATTTGGTGAAATTATCTTTTTTTTCTTTTCTGTGGGACACTATGCAGTATTGAATAGAATTCGATTAATCTTGGATATGGATAAAGTGTTTTACAGCAGCACTCGAACAAATATTTGAATATAAAATAACTAGATGAGAGATTAAAGACATAGAGGAGTGTTTGAAACGAGTAAGAAGTTTAATAAAAGATGAGAAAAAGAATTTTTGTTTCTGTCATAAATACTTCAAGTTGTTAAATATAAATATTATTTTATTCTGTAAATGAAATTAAATTTTATATTGTTTTTATTTAGTTGTTTCTAACTAGAATGATAGAAAAAATGCGCTTAACTCTAGACTTTTTTTTTTAAATTAGTTTCTATTAATATGAAAAACAGAAATACAGGAAAAATTTAACAGTTATATAAAGTAATAATTCTTTTATTCTTAGTAGATTAAAACCAAATATGAATATAGTTAAATCATTGTAAGAGATGAATTGATCCAGGTATTATAAAGAATCTATCGTAAAATAGTTCTCAAGCATATTTACTGTTTAATGATAACTTGCATTCAAAAAATGTGTCTTATCACTATTTTACAGGTATAAAAAAAAAATTATATGAATAATCAAAAGACGATTATAATTCAGTTGAATTGTGCTTTATTATTTGGTTTAGATGAAAAATAAAAGAAGTTTGACACACTCACAACGCTGAAACTATAATATATAATACTGTTTGCCTCTTTTATTGCTCTTAAGAAATAGTGTCTATTAAAATTTTTTTCTCTATAACTCAATTCTTATCTTAGTGATCAAGCCCTGATATACGTTAGCTAGTTTTGACAGCCTCATTTATTTAAAAAAAGAAATGGGTGGCGGTGGAAGTAAGAAAGCAAAAGGAAAGGCTGCTCAACAAGAACCGCTAAATCAACCGACTGGATCAAATATACAACAGGAAAATAAATCGGAAGTAAAAAATGCATCACCAGCATCATCACCATCACCAACCAAAGCAAACAGTGCATCACCATCACCAACCAAAGTAAAGAGTGCATCATCACCAGTACCATCACCAACCAAAGCAAACAATAACAATGAATTTGATGGACACGATAGTCGTACTTCACGTAAGTAAAATAAGCTTGAATGAAAATTTCATTCAAATCATAAATATTTATTTATATTTTAGATGATGAACTGAATAATAATAATTTTCCAATTGATATTGATCGAACACCATCACCTATTGACACCCCAGTTGAGCAATCAAAATCACCTGTATCAAGACGGTCTTTAAATGCGAATTCTGCACAATCAAACAATAGTCATCGAAAGGGTTCAAGATCATCTAAATTGGATACACATTCAGATGGAAAAATTTCTGTTGCATCAATCCATCAACACAGTGGTACCTGTCGATACTGTCCACATTGTCGAAAAATGGCAGATGGAAAAATACCGCCAACTCCAGGTTGGATCATAAAAAATCCAGGTATCGGTCAACTTATAATTAAAATGGATAAATATGATCTTGAAGCTGTTAGAGAAAAAATTACTACAGAAAATGGTCATTATCCTGGTTGTTATGATTATCGACCTTATCTAACAATCGAAGAAGATAATGATAAGGATGATCGAAAAGAAACTGATTATTATACACAACCGTTTGTTACTCGAAAAAAATCGAGTATTTTAACTTCGCATACTCCGTATCCAGACTATAATAATCTGCAACGTCGCGAACAACGTTTAAACAAACCCTATGAAACGACATTGTTCGTTGATTAGCTTCTGTTTTTTGCCTTAATTCCTTATTCATCAAAAAAAAACATGTACTAACGCTCTTTTTTTCTCTGCTTTAAATCTATACTTTCATTTTTCTAGTACAATGTAGACGCTTCTGAATTTTATCATTATTTTTCAAATAACTTTTATTTTATACTAATGAACACTAAAGGAATAAATATGATATATAATGAAAATTCTTTTTCGAATATACATAGTAACGAAAACTAATTTTTTTTCTATTAATAGTAATAAGAAAAAAGACATACAGACAAATGAATATAATTATTATATTGTTTATTATATTGGTAACTATACCTAATTATATTGATAACAAATTATTGAATGACTCTATGATTAAATCTCAAGTTTTATATAATCATAAACAGAATATCATTCAAACTCTAATGATCAATCAAAAAAATCAAAATAAACTGTATGAATCTATAAATAACAAAAATAAAGTTATATTGAAAAGATCCCCTCGATGTGCATCTCATTGTCAACCACATGATTGTTGTAGGAAAACAAGATGTTTATGTATAAATGATTATTGGGGACCTGTTTGTTATTGTAGAAAATAATCATTACTAATTTACATAGAATAGTATCAAGAAAATTGATAATCATTGTTTCTGTTTTAGATTTCTTTTAGAAAATCGTATTTCGTTCAATATAAATGATTGAGCGTGTAAATTAGAAATCGAATAAAAATAAACTTTAAACTAATCTTATTAACTATATGCCAATAGCCTCTTATCGATTGGAACCACTTGGTTCAATTGATTACTTATCGTTTGTCTTGCTCGTAAATATGAAGATGTGCCGTTGCTAATCTTTCTTTTCTCTCGTTGCGTTCGATTATCTGACTTGCCATGTATTCTGTAAAGAGTTCTTGGTTGCATTTCTGAATAGAACGTTTTTTTTCCCTACATTTCTTTATTATGTCTTTTAGATCGATCACGATCATCATAGACGAATAAGACATACAGACACAAGATTTTATTATTTGGCGTGCTTTTTTTCTTGTCATCATCGGCTTTTTCTCTTTTTCTTCTTTGAAAGAGAAAAAATTATTATCTGCTTATGAGCACAGACTGATAGCCATGGGTTTACAACTTCAAGTAATCATGACAAACAAGATGGATGTATAGTATAATGAAGCTAACTACTATAATAACAATCCTATAAAATCCAGAAAAAGGTTTTTTTTTTTTCATTGCTTGAATGTAGCTTTTTACTTGTTGTAAACGACAGATTTTTGTGATGATCATGACGACAGCTGACACACACATCGTCATCTAATTCTTTTTAGTCATTCTAATACGAATGACAAATTCTTTTAATACACATACAGTGTTATGATAGTTATTTAAATTCATGTCGATTATATTTATGCTTGTGATTATCATTATTTTGGGTGGTAATGATTATTTTTTTCCTTATGTTCAAACATCAGAAGATGAAAATCGTCTTATACATTATTTATTTTCTGAGCAAGGTTATAATGCACTTGTAAGACCGATTCAACATTCAAATGAAACTGTTGTTGTATCATTTGGTCTGTTATTAGTACAATTAATTCATGTAAATATATTTAAAATAAAAAAAAAAATTTATATCACAATTATTTTTTGTTATTTAATCATCTATAGGTCTATGAAAAAGAACAAATTATGAAAACAAATACATGGTTACATATGAAATGGTATGTTCAAAATAGGGAATATTTGACAATATTAAAATTATTATTTTAGGTATGATTCACAGTTACGATGGAATCCTGATCGATATGGTTGGAAAATTCTTTCATTCAAATGATCGAATATGTTTAAAAATGTTTTTAGGAGGTATTCGTCAAATCAGTGTTCCTTTTACAAATGTTTGGACACCAGTAAGTTATTTATTTGTCATATCGTCACTAACTACTTTCCTATCTAATCAAAGTTAATCCTCATAAAATATTAGTTGAATTTCCTATAGAATTGAAACGAGTTGGTGATAAAATGGTAAATCGACAGATGTAAAATCTATTCTCATCATGAAAACAAATAGAAATATTAGACTATAATACTATCTGACATAAGAAAATGTCGGATGAACTAGTTCATTGATAATTTGACTGAACGACTGATTTTTTTTCTTGCATAATATATTAATGGCTCATGAACAAATCTATTCCAGTTGTTAAGTCATATTTTTCTCTTCAAATGTATATACATAGCTATAATCCGTTTAGAAAATTAAAAGCAAGTTTTATTCTGAGAGATCTTCTAAATTACGATTGAAAAGAAAAACATACAGTTTCTTTTCTTTATCTTTAGGATGTTGTTTTATTCAATAATGCTGGTATGAAGTCATTCTATTTACACAGGATTTTTATTTTTTTATTTTTTTTTTTATAATTCTAATCAATAGATGGAAATTATGAAGTACCATTTAAATCAAAAGTAATTCTTGTACATACAGGGGAAGTTCAATGGGTTCCACCAGCTATCTATAAATCTTCATGTCGTATTGATGTTAAATTTTTTCCATTTGATACTCAAGAATGTGAAATGCGTTTTGCATCCTGGACGTATAATGCTCGAGAAGTAACATTTGCAAATTATCCTGAAGAACAGGATAAAACAGTTGAAATAAATACATTATTACCACAACAAGCAATCAGTGTAAATAGTGATGAAAAATATAAAGACGATTATCTTGAAAGTGGCACATGGGATGTTATTAGTGTATGAAGAAACTTTTTTTAAAGTATCAAAAATAAAAACAGGGAATCTGTTTTGTTTTCTATTATGTAGATTCCAAGTAAATTTGTTCATTATCGTTCAAATGCTTCAAGTTTATCACCTGATTATATTGAAATTGTATTTTTAATTAAAATGAGTCGTAAAACATTATATTATACAGTAAATTTAATTGTTCCAACAGGTTTAATGGGTATTCTTATATGTATTGTATTTTGTTTACCAACAGCAGCTGGTGAAAAAATGACACTATGCATGTCAATACTCTTAGCATTAAATCTTTTTCAACTTCTCGTTACAAAAATTTTACCACCAACATCAGCTGTTGTTCCATTAATAGCTAAATATTTACTTTTTACATTTACACTTAATGTTCTTGTTATTGGTAAGAAAAAAAAAAACAAACAAACTAAAACAAAAGGCTTTTTTTTTTACGTTCATATTTATTTATTTATTTTTTATTTAATTCTTTTAAGTGAATACAGTAATTATAACTAATTTCTATTATCGTACACCAATGACACACGCAATGCCTCAGTGGTTACGACGTGTTTTTTTACATATACTTCCACGTTTATTATGCATGGAATCACCTATACTTCGAGAAAAACGTGAAGAATATGAACTTTCATTAGCTGTTAGAAATATTCAACAATCAGTTGTTCTTGAAAATCCTATTCATACAATAAATGAAACAATTAATAGAAAACAAAGAACAAGACCAAAACATACAGATAAGGTAATTTTCTAAAGAAAGAAATTTTAAAAGACTTGATGAACATTAGAAGAATAAAATGCGTTAGGATAGACCGAAACATTGCATTGTTGAAGATAATATTCAGGATAAGTTAGATGATACTGATATTCACCAAAACTAATAATCCGCTTTGACAGTAAAACATTGAGGTGCTGACACTATCAACGTTTTTCGTTGGGTGTACTTTTGTTGTTAATCAACATCGTAAAATATTGAACAAAGTACTTTTTTTACTTTAAAAAAATATCAAAAAGCATGATAATCTTAAACTTTGTACGATTATTTAAATTTTTCTGCTTTTGAATTCAAATGCCAGTGATCATTAAACCAACACTATCACATATCTATTTGAATATAAGCAATTAATAAGATCTCGATGAATGAGCAACAGAGATGCAATGATGGCTGCTCAGCGCTCATTTACACATCGGTTTCCTATTACCTAAAAAAATTCGAAATAAAATTTAAGATCACTTAAGTTTTATAATGTATTAACTGTTTTCACTATTAGTCTAAGTATTTATGTCAAGATTTGTGTAATGCTCTACCTAAGACCATTTCATTCCTAGTCAGCGAAAAATATTCCTCAAAAATTAAATGAATATAACGAAATTTTATCAATGAAACTAAAAACATTTCTTCTTACGCAAGTCGATTTTACAAAACGAATAATATAAACAATACAAAATGTAAACAAATGCATATAGGAAAAATACTTACAAAATTCCACATGATTCATTTGAAGATTGATTTTTTTTTTAAACTTATTATTTCACTATAAGAAAATCATTTCTTACTCAAATTTCAAAGAAGAACAGAAAGACAGATAAAATAAATATGTAAATGCTAGTTATAATCAAACTTCTGAGTCATTTTAATCTCAATAATCATAAAAATTCATAGAGACTTTATTGAAAATAAATCGAACTTGAAAAGCAAGAAGTATTTTTATGTTTGTACACAGAATTTTTTCTCCATCGTGAGTTCTTGTACAGAAATAGACATATAAAACTGTGTTCAGTCTTATACGAATGATTGATTTCTCTTTGATAAAGATCGTTTTAATATTTATTATCGTTTGAAAAGTATGCACAAGTCATTCAAGAGATCATAAGATAGTTGAAGCCTATTTCGATGAAACACCAAGTTCACAATATACAAAATGATATTTTCATTTAAAGAACTTAAAGAAATCAAATCCGTTGTCTTTTTTTTTTTGAGTTACTTTTTTTGATGAAATTTCAATAGACAAAATAGACCTGATTGTATAGATATAAGTTATGAAATTCTTAAACAAACAATAAGAATTAATGATTTTACCTTCCAAAACTTTCTCATAAGAAATTTTCAGCATTAAATCATGCAAGATAATCCTATCTAAGTTAACTTATTTTATAAAAGGATGATCAAATGCGTCGTGATTCAAATTCTTCATTTCTTGCCTATGTCAATGATAAACGTCGAACATCAACAATTCTTTTGAAACCAATTTCATATCCAAAATATCAGCATCATCATCATCATCATCGTCATCATCATCAAAAAGAAAAACAAACATTTCTTATTGATGAAGGAAAACGTCTTATTCCAATTCATTCTAATCTCGATTCTAATTCTAATTTTCATCGAATACAAATTCAAGAAATGCGACGAGAATTAAAACAAGCTCTTGATAATATTCGTTATATAGCTGCACATTGTGCACATGAATCATTAATTGAATCTATACGTGATGAATGGAAATTTATTGCAACTGTTATTGATCGTCTTCAATTTTTTATCTTTTTAAAGCTACTGAAATCCGTTTGATATGTGTAGCGCTAATGCTTGTTTTGATCAATGCTGTTTAATCTAATTTCAATACAATATATATATTTTATGTTAGTGAGAGTTTTCAACTTATATTCTTAGACATTTCTTTTGAA